GGACTTGCAAAACAATGACTTGAGACTTGACTCGGACTTGAGCGCAAAGACTTGAGACTTGACTCGGACTTGCAAAACAATGACTTGGTCCCACCTCTGGTAAGCGGACATGAAACTATTCAGCAAAACTATAAATAATAATCTAAGTTATTGAGTTTTTAACATAATACTTCAGAATCTTAAAATCCCTTAACGTTTGTATGCAATTGTGCTAAATTCAACACTGGAATCAAGCAAATATGAATATGTTTGCATGACATTAGTTATTTATATTTTGATATCACTTAAATACGTTTAATACATTTAAGTCAAGCTAAGGTACATGTGATGGTAGCTAGTTAGTGCTCTTACCTGTGAGGCCTCCTCCAAACAGCATAATAACCAGACTGTATCATTAAAACTACAAGTACCAGTTCTAGATCCTTGACTTTAGACAAACAATTCAAAAGACAAAATGTATTTAAAGACCAATCTTTATTTGAATGTGCCTCTTAACCTGATATATTAGTTATACAGTAATAGTATTGACAATCTACAAAAACTGAGCAACTCAACTGTCAACTTTATATTTCTTATTGTCTAAAGCATTTATTATTTTCATTTTCCCCCTCTCATATTCAGTGTGGACGGATTGAGACAGCGTGGTGTCCAGAGAGCTGCAGAGACTTCAGGGAGAAACCTCCGTGTGATGGACGTCCTGTCTGTTGGTTTGGAGAGGACTGAGGGTCTTTCCTCTGCGAGGAGGACCAGGCCTGATGGAGGAGCCCATGCTGGGCATAGCTGATACCAACTGCACAGGCCTAGTCTGTCTGTATTTGACTAAATAATAATAATAATAATATATTTTATTTCTATAGCGCTTTTCTTGAACCCAAAGACGCTTTACATTTGGGAGGGAGGGGAGACAAACAAAACAAAGACAATGCCAAATGACAAAATGTGTTTACTTATACATTTAATAGGTTTACACCTTCTGTCCATATGTGCTTTTTATTTAAAACATGTTTGATGAAGTTTTGGTTCACATTTCAATAAATTGTATTTGTATTTGCACTCCTTTTGTCCATTATTCTTACTGAAAATGTTAGATTACACATTGACATCTGACTGAAGATTGGCCCCATTTATTTGTGACGTTGCAAACGTGATGTGAAGCTCATAAAGTAAGGCAAATAGAAATAATCAGCTGATGGAGTGTAGATGTGGAAATAGGTGCATTCGATCAGCTGACTGTGTTTTCACAATACAAGTAGTTTCTTAGTGAATGTCCTGTACTGGTCTTAAAATGTCATAGCATCAGCTTTTAATGTTCCTCTTGGATGTTCTTCTTGACCCTCAGAGAAGGAGAAAATGTCGTGTCTTTCAGGCATGTCCTTTCCTAACAAAAATGACAGGAAACATAAAACATATTATTGCAGAACAAGTGTGTTATTTATGAAAGCGGTGTGTTTGTGTGTTTAGGGGCTGTAGATATAATTATTTTGTAATTGTAATGATTTTGTTTTATTTCAACAGAGCTACAAAGACAATCAGATTATGAATGAACAGTATGAAATTCATCAACATTGAAATATATGTTATTATCAAAATAATATTTAACTGTTATCAAAACGTAGTGCAACTGTAGAAGCTTGCTCTGTTGTCTCACTGAAAGAATTACTTTTACCACGTTTTTTACAGACAATATTGAGAGATAAATAGTAGCAGTCCTCACTATGTGTTAAATATCTTTGCCTTCAATACATTAAATTAGAAAGCTGACAAAATCATATTGCTAAATATCTAAATGTAACTTTTTGCATGGAAAAAACCCTCAACTTAACTGATGTGTAGGTGACCTAGTATTTAGTATTGTTTAATGGAATGTATATCAGTGTATTAAAGTCAATTATTTATTTATTTAAACCAATATCTTTCTTGATTCTTTGTACAGTATGAAAATAGAGTATTTGTACCTGTGCTGAAGTTCACTGCTGTGAGGAGTCCAGTTCTGTCTCTCACTCTCTGGTCCAGCCTGTCTGCATCACCTGGACACCTTAAACAAACAGATATGTAAAGTACCATGTGTACAAACAATATAACTGATTCTCTTCTGTTGAACATGTTGGATTGTGTATTGTCCGAGTCAGGGTCCTTTTTATTTTACTGTAACTTTGGAAGTTGTGTTACCAATGCTTACTGTTTATTTGATACCCATTTGGTAATACAATTAATAAAAACAACAAGGTTTGGGTTCGTTCTTCAGATGACTGTGACGTTAACGTGTAAGCTCGATAATGAACTCCAGCTCAACCAACCATATTGTAATATCTAAGTAATCATCTTGAAATATGACATTATTATTTGTAATATACACACATCTTATTGTGAGATTGATTTCACATACACTACTTCGACATTAGCTTGTCTACATACTTGAGCATAGCCAATTTAAATTAACCTTAGCGATGCATACAGTTCCTACCTACATAATAAAATATCTCTCTAAGTTACAAGGATGACCTTATTTTATCAACCTCAAACAGAAGCTGTTTGTTCTACAGTATTATCCCACTTAACGCTTAACACTTGTCTATTATGTTTTAACCTTTATATATATAGCCTATGATTTTAACTTAGAGGCTACTATTAGCATTGTTAGTACCGATGTAGCTACCACTCGCTTACACGCTACAAGCCTTAACATTCATTACGTAGCTGATTAAAATCATTAACACATAAATAAAGTACTCGAATTTCACTTACCGCAAAATTCATGCACCGTCTGTTTTAACCGCAGAGCGAGTCAGAATAATCCAATATATAAGCATGAAGAACAAACAACCACGGCCGGGGTCAAGTTGTGTTCCCTTGATGAACTGAGCAGGCAGAGTCCCTGTAGCTAGCTTCACAGAGCAGCTAGCAGAGAGACGAGAAGCTAGCAGCAGCAGTCACTTGACAGAGCTGTCACTCAAAGTGACCACGCCCTAATTTATGCATAACATTAAGACTGAATATTAATTAAACAGATGAGTTGAGAAAAGATTCACTCCAGGATCTATAGACAGGAAGGGGGAATCTAACTATACTGAGAATTAAATGTTTTGAAACCACGATGTACAGTAAACATGTTTATTTCTGCTGTAAAGTTGGGCATTTTAACATTGAGGTATATGGAAATTGCTCCCTTCTGCAGACTGCTCCTACTGGCCACTAGATGAACTGCAGTTTGAGGCACTTCCTGATTCGCATCCCAGAGTGGCCCAGAGTTTGCCGCTTGCGTAATACAGTAGGAGCCAAAATCCTGGATCTGATTGTTTGCCCCCCCCGTTTTCATTTTTCTTTTTTGCGATGTGGGTACCGAGGAAAAGAGAGAGGGTTTTGTTTTCTGACACTTTGTGAGTTCCCTGACACACCGGGGACACATATTTATGTACAGTATACAATACATCAAAAAGTGCATTTTGTATAATAGGTCCCCTTTAACACAGAGTTATCTCCATCATAAATATGAATATGCTGCCATGACAAAGAGAGGCATTATTTGAACAAGCCGGGTTTTTTTAAAAAGCTGGTAATTTCAGAAATGTTTTGTACAACCTCATAACCTTCAATACATGCATTCACATACAAAATAAATCATGTCCACTTCACTTTTTTGTATGACAAGAACATGTTGCAAGCTATATCTTTAGAATCTTGTATTTTATTAAATGTGCTTTATCCGTTGAGGTCTCCTTAAAGGTAGGGCAGGTAATTCACTTCAGAAACACTTTGTTATATTCCATGGAATGCTCTTAACATCCCGATAGCAATGAATACATTAAATGCATTGACAATAAATATATACAAATATTTCATCTGTGGAAGCCGTGGCGCTTTAAAAAGCACGACCAATTATCTGCCTCGGCCCGCGGCGGATAATTGGGTGGCCTACCTGCCTGTCAGCCTTCCATCTCGTGCACAAACTTATCTCGTGCCCTCATTGGTCATGTGCATGTTCGTGTATGTTGGAGGAGGGGCTCTGTAAGGAAGTGGCAGATTTTTTCCGGTTGTATACTTTCAAATTCTAGCGCACTCGAGCTGGTTTCTCCATTCTTACCTAGTACCCTACCTTTAACTAAATTAATAAATATGAAATCCACAATAATGTGATTGTAACACAGTGTAATTATAAAATATACAGAGTATAATGCGAAATAATTAAAGTCTAAGTATCTACTTATCAATTAGCCTACTGGCCCTAATTATTGTTACTAGGTTGCACAAAAAATGGGTAAAACAGGATAGCAGTGCTGGTATGGAAATACAATTGGTAAGGGTTTAAATTATTCTTATTTTTAATAAAAGTCAAGTGACAAATGATGCATTTATTAATAGAAATATGTTAAGAATTGTAGCTGGGTAACAATAAATTAGGTCAAATCATTATTATTATTATTATTATTATAATCATTATTATCGTACAACATGCAGTATAATGTGAAAAGATAATTATGTGTCAGGTCAGGTGATAAATAAAAACTATTACTATCTAAAATTGATACAGGCTAAACTTTGTTAACTCCTGTATGCTCGTTTTTAAAACACACATTTGTGGCTCCCTTATTCCCTGTATGTTCATAACCAGAACATAGTTGAGTTTGCTTTTGCTATCATTTGCTTACACTGATGGTTGTGCATTCAAGCCTATTTTCAACATGAACTTTAGCATGACTAACTTTAAGGTCTGAATTCATTTCATTTTAATTAGCATGAATGTTTAATTTGTAAATGTTTTAGCTTTAACATGGTCCGCCTTAAGAGAATATGACATCAATTTATAGATTTTCCGTTGAGCATTCTAGAAAAAACATGAACACAAGCAGTGCGCACAAACAACGAAACAAGTCCCAAACAAACAACCAAGCCCAACGACAGTGAAGGCATCACAGAGGAACACATTGGGACAGAACAACATGGTCGTGACAGGATAACAGTGATGGATGCTGATGAGCAGGGTGGAGTCTGATCTGCCCTACCTTTTCTGACGCAGATCAGCTCATGTACTCCACAGTTACGCTCTCCACCTGGAAACACAATGCAGTTTCAATGAGCCACACTGTGATGGCGGGAACAAGAGACAGAACGAACATCATGGAAGCACATTCAAATATGTTGGAACATTTACACGGATTCCCAGAAAAGGACAGGAACAATACAGATATAAGACGTTGACTGGGTGGATGTGGGTGTTGTACAAGCTGCTCATCTCTGAAATACAGTACAGACATACAATACTTAATCAAACAGCCTGGCTGGATACATGTCATGTACAATGAGTTACATTGTGCTTTCTTTTTTGCCTCATGGACAATAACTGGAATGCTATAAATGCCCCAAATGTTTTCCCAGCAGCCGATGACAGCTGCATCTTGATATCTGTTCTGTGGAGCTTTATATGACGCCTGTTTTGGTTTCTGTCCAAGATACTGTGATAAGCAGTTCCTATTATAGAGCATTTGCCATTTGGAGGGGTTGCCTGATCATCTGACAAGCTATTTAAATTACTCCAATAGAGGGGTGCAGGAATGAGTCGTAAACCAGGCTAGCTCCTTGAATTAGTTCTTGGTTAGACTCCCGAAATAAGTTCTGTGATTAACACAACCTTACGAGAGGTTGTCCAACGAGGTGTTGTCCAACGACATCGAATATGGCCCAACTAATTAGTTGTCAATAACCTGTATTCATCCTCTGTCTCAGTTCTCATATCTCCCTCTCAAACCTTTCTCCTGAACTCTACTTTAATAAACCTGATTAATACACTTTGAAAAAACACAATTGTTCTTAGACAAGCAACAAAACTTTTAACATTTCTACAGTTTCTCTGACATTTAGAAACAATCATGACACAATCTAGTGCTTGATTGTGCATCTCTCGGTCACTGTTTGTTCAGACTGCTTATCGGAGCTGCACCAGGCAGTTGAGATAAAGGCCTGAACTCCTCCGATGCCATTTGAATGCAACCAGCTGGCTCGATGGAGGAACTGCTGGAGTCAAATGTGGACGGGAAAGGGAAGTCGATGTGTGTTCTAAAGCCGGCACAGCTCAGTGATCCATAACCACAGATTCTAGATGCAAAGGGCGTCTCTAATCTTAGAACAATACTTGGCAGCATCCATGCAGTCGTTTCATTTCATGATTACATTAAAAAAAAAGGAAACAAAAGACTGGACTGATGATGAATTTTGAAACAATATTAAATAGCTGTAAAAACTGAAGATCCATATATACAAATTGGATCAAGGTGTTGGGTTGAAAGTTACACATTTTATTCTGTTTTCACATTTAGATAACCCATCCTGTAGCGTGCAAAGAAACAACTGCACAAATGAAAACAACTTAAGGCATATTTAAAGTCTGAAATAGGCCTTTGGTCAATGTACAATCTGCTTGCAGAGCTTAAAGTGACCAAAACCCAATGATTTTTCCTCTTAATGGAATTGGTAAGGCTTTGATTGTGAATTGTTACAGTCCATTTACTGGTCATGCTATATAAAATATGGATTGTGGGAGTTGCCAGGACTTTTGTTCTAATTGAACACTTACTCACTTACTTACTGTGACTACAATCAACAGGACATTATCTTGTTAACCTGAACTTGTTTCAATGCAAACAGACAATATTTTAAACACTGGTATACACTGTGCAGCTTTTATTGAACCCTCAAGTCTTCAGCCATGCAATCAAGTCTGTGAGGCTAAACATAGACACAGCAGTGCTTTGAGCTAAATGCTAACTTAAGCATGCTAACGTTTTCTCTCTGACATGCTGATATCTAGCAGGGATCTGCCTGCCTTCCTTTGATTCTCTCTGAACTGCCTGGTCTTTTTAATCTTTAATGTCAACCATTTGTGCAGATAGCATGAAGTAGAAAAGATCGGCGATCGCCGATGCTAGCGTTAGCATTTCTCCCCCGGGCTTAAATTGTGTATTATAGAATGATCACACCGGTGACAGTGCTCTTCAAAGGATTCACGAAATATGACTACTACTCTTACTGTTTAACATTTTGGGTTACTTAATGTTACTTCATATTAAGGCTAATAAAAATAACAAGGCTGTAATGCTAACTAACGTGCTAGCTACTAGCTAGGTAGCTAACTTGATCCAGCCACTCCTGGTCCTTTCATCAGACGGGAAGCGAAATAACGAGCAAGACCCATTGCTTGACATCACTTACGCGACTCTGGGATTTGTAGTCTTTCTAGTTGCGTATTTTTCAACAGTTTTACGACAAACTGTGACTTTTTTGACATGGAAATAATTTTTTAAGATTGACAAACATCATATGTGTAATTCATGGCACAATTCAAACGGGATCGAAAGATAAGCTTTTCTCTCTCCATTGACTTCAATACATTATTTTTCTGAAATAAGGTCCCATGGACCGGAAGTAGATGGGCGTGACTTCGCCACTCTATTAACGTGTTTGCCACGAATCTTATTTTCTGCAATATTCCTAAATCCGATGGAAACATTTTTTTTTAAGAAGCCGCATCGGCCTATAAATACGTCATCACTGCACCACTCTATTACACACTATTATCAAGAGTACGTCTGGTAGTGAGACCACATTTCTACCAGGGATTCCTCACTGATCTCCATTGTCACTCATTGTCACATTCTTATCAAGCACTGTGTCATCTCAGTGGCCTGGATCCAATGACAGTGGATGACAGTCCATCAGAATAACATTTGCCTGTTATTGAGACACTAGTATACAGACAGAGAACCTCTGCAAGATCTCACCATGGTTTTCTTCAACAGGCGCCGACTGTAACTTAGTTCAATTCAGTCTTACTCACAGTTAAGAGGGCCTCAGTCTCTGAGCTCGGCCTCTGGGATGTGCCTACAGGTGGAGCTTTCTGATAGCTCTGGCTGCTTTTCACTGTGACACTTGTAAGATTCACTCAGCTCTGTCCCAACGCTACAGAAGAAAGGACTGAAAGTAATGGTGTCATGGTGTAAAGGTTGTAAATTACCTTTGCCTCATTGCATTTTGCATTCTAATCATATATTTGAACTACATAATGATGTAGCTTTATAAGAATCAGTCATGTAGCTCTTGCCAAAACTCATTTTTCACTAGGATGTTTGCAGAAAAAGCAGCGTAGTCTATCAAAATAGTTAATTAAATTGGTAGCAGAGAACAAGAAATACATTGAAAGATCAAATACGAAAAATTCTAGTATAAGTATCTGAAATAGGGCTGCTCAATTATGGCAAAAATCAAAATCTCGATTATGTTGGTCAATAATTGATATCACGATTATTAAAAACGATTATCCATTTACTTTGAAAACATCAATTTATTGAAAATAAAAATGTGAAAAGTATGTTTTTAACAGTCGATTATTCTGAAAGTATAATTAAGTATAATTAAACTGAAAAACCAAAAAAATAAAATATAAAAATGATAATTTAAAAAAAACAATCGTTTTATTTCGATGATGTTGTTTTCATAATCGTTGCATGCCAAAATCGTAATTGTGATTAAAATACGATTAATTGAGCAGCCCTAATCTGAATGAACAATAAACCCTTCATACTGTGTTATTAACTATCCCTAACCCTGTGTTTGTTTTTATATAATTGAAGCTGAATCCACCCTTCTAAGAGGACTGCTTTGTCCTTGTTGAGAGTGACCAAAGGTCATGTTCCACATACACATTATAGCTCGGATTTGATACTGATTAATATGAGCAGTGTTTGTTGGCTTAGGTCAGTCTGACATATTCACAACGTCCAGACACAAGATAGCTACAGCTTAAAAGTAGGTTAAATAAGTGAAAAGTTGTTTAAAATAAAATGTTTTTACATATGTGGAGATTACACTGCTAAACAAAATATGTATCATAAAAGTGTTTACTAAAGAGCTTATTTTCTGCAATATTCCAAAATCAAATCCCATTGCTTTTGCCAACGGAGCCCTTGTGATGCTAGCTTTTGTGACAGTCTACAAAAATACTGCACCAGCCTTAACATATACAAGGTTCATGTCAACCCAAGTAAAAAAAATGAAACAGTTCCAGCCTGTAAACAAAGCCATTAAAGGAAGTTGAGCCTTATATGTCATGACTGTGTGAAGATCTTTCCTGCAGCACCACAGTGGAGCTGAGAGAGTTGTTGCTGTGGTCCAGCAGAACGCTTCAGCAGCTGTGAGTGGGAGGAAGCTGTGCTCTTTCACTCCTCCTTCACTCACCACACACCATACTTGTCAAAAATAACACTTTCTTGCGAGTGCACTCTCTAATAAGGTACACGGTACTGTTGCTCATATCACACCACAAGCAATGACTCTCCTTTCTTTAAATTATTTTGGGGATGGAAGCTCCTTTAACCAGCACCACAATGTTCTATGTAACATCCAATAGTTAAAATAGCTTTTATTATAATCCTTTTTTTTGCTACGTAGTCTTCTTTCTGTGTCTTTGTATGCACCATTTATACCAAAGCAAATTCCTTGTATGTGTAAACCTACTTGGAAATAAAACCGATTTTGATTCTGATGACCAAATATGCAATCTGATGCCACTTCCTTTTAACAGCACAACTAGTTAGCAAGCAGACCTCTCCCTACTTTCTTTATAGCAACAAAAGCATGTTTTAACTCCCTTATGTTAACCTTAATTACCTTTATAAGATTATCAAAACATACTTGCTAATGCTAATTAGACTGTTGAATAAGCAATTAAAGCTATGCTAGGAAGGACATCTGTGCGATGGTTTGGCAAGGGAAATAAATCAATAACAATCATTGGCTGTTTGAAAAATGGAAAGTGTCCTGATACAACACCATCCTGGGACTGAAATCAACCACATAATGCAAAACTTCAAGACTTAATGTAATTCAAATGATGAGATATATCAAATCCACTCGGGTACAGTTGTCATTTACAGAGAAATTAGAAAGTAATTGTTCTTGAATTAGGCTGTAAACATGTTGATTTATGATTTGAAGTTTGGCATTGTGGGAGTGTAGGGATTGTTTCCTGCTGGATCCAGCCTCAAGTGGCCATTCTTTA